TATGGGAATATGTAATATCCCACAAACGTTTAAACTAATTGTACAATAAAAGTCATTTGTTTTAAAAATAGTGGTTGTTATTGCTCTGAGTGAAGGTATCAGCACCTATAAAATCCCAACTTTTTAGGTTATCTGTTGACTGGTTTTTCATATTTAGGGATGTGGTGGCTGAATGTGCCAACCAGACCTATTACTATTTTCATGTTAAGCCTGTTATTTACAAAGCTCAACACTCTCACTTCAACTGTCTGTTCAGATGGACGTCTTATGGATTTTCAAATCGAGAGATAATCTGAAAGCAAACACCTTCTGCATGCTCTCTCTTACATCAGGCCACTGTTTCTTTTTAGAATCATAAGTATTTCCCTTAATCCTACTATATCAATGTTAACTCCAGTTGCCTGGAAAGTGAAGATGCTCTTCGTTGCCCTGTAATACCCAGAAGCTTGCTTGTACCTTAAACTACTACAAATACCACTGTCACTTCAATTACCAATAGTACTATTGCCTAATAATAATAATCGAGATTATCAACACCAACTCAACCAATTCATTATCAGTATCCACAATCAATGGGCACACACACAGAAATGAAAAGTAGACTGTTTATTAATAGCTAAAGCATCACACCCATCAAGATGGGCGGATATAAGAGGCAATTATGATGCTGATTAAGCTAGGTTTAGCAACATACATTACTCCATAAATCAATTATTCACACCAGCAATATGGCTGGACACGCTCATTCGTATATATTAAAATCAGTACCGTCATCATTTAATTACTATTCGCTGAACACTGAAGTCATTTTTCTATTCTCGTAAATCGGGTTTGCCCCATTTTTCTGTTTCCAGTAAACATTTTAGCCTATAATTAGACGTATGATCCGAGATCATTATCGACAGCCAAGTCCAAGCCAATCTGTGTCACTGTGGCCATTGTTCTCAAGTTGGGTTCTGACCCTTCTGATAATTAAAAGATATGAGTGCTCCAGGATTTAGGATTTTTGATGTTATCATTCACCCCAACAGAGCTCCTCTTACTTTATATTTCTCCTTCCAGGATAACTTGACCTCACCAAATCATATCTTCTGACTTTATATTTCTCCTTCCATGATAAGTTGACCTCACCTAATCATATCTTCTGACTTTATATTTCTCCTTCCAGGATAACTTGACCTCACAAAATTATATCTTCCGACTTTATATTTCTCCTTCCATGATAACTTGACCTCACCTAATCATATCTTCTGACTTTATATTTCTCCTTCCAGGATAACTTGACCTTACCAGATCCTATCTTCTGACTTTATATTTCTCCTTCCAGGATAACTTGACCTCACCAAATCATATCTTCTGACTTTATATTTCTCCTTCCAGGAAAACTTGACCTCACCAAATCATATCTTCTAACTTTATATTTCTCCTTCCAGGATAACTTGACCTCACCAAATCATATCTTCTGACTTTATATTTTCTCTCCCTCCAGGATAACTTGACCTCACCAAATCATATCTTCTTCTTGCTTCGTGAGAGCTTGGACAGATGCTACAGATTAGAAATGCACAGTCCGGCTTCCGTCCCCTACACTCCACCGAAACTGCCTTACTCAAACTCTCCAACGACCTGCTAACCGCCAAAGCTAATGGCCACTATTCAGTGCTCCTACTCCTTGACCTCTCTGCGGCCTTCGACACAGTCGACCACCCCCTTCTCCTCAAAAAACTACACTCCCTCGGCTCAGAGATTCTGTTCTCTCCTGGCTCTCATCCTACCTGTCACAACGCTCCTTCAGCGTTACCTATAATGCTACCACCTCCCCCTCACTCCCCCTCTCTGTTGGGGTCCCTCAAGGCTCTGTCCTCGGGCCCCTTCTCTTCTCCATCTATACCTCCTCCCTTGGCCAACTCATACACTCTCACGGCTTCAACTACCACCTCTATGCCGACGACACACAAATCTATCTCTCAACCCCCCACCTCACCCCCTTGGTCTCAGCCCGAATCACACACCTACTGAGCGACATATCAGACTGGATGTCGCTCCACTTCCTTAAATTGAACCTCTCCAAAACCGAGTTTCTTGTCTTCCCCCCAGCCCGGACACCACCCCCCATTGATTTCTCCATCACATCCAACAACGCTACCGTCAAACCCGCCCTGCAGGCCAGAGTACTGGGTGTCATTCTGGACTCCAACCTATCCTTCCAGCCCCAAGTCCAATCTTTAACAAACTCGTGCAGACTCCACCTCCGCAACATCGCCAAAATCCGCACGTTCCTAACCCCAGAAACCACTAAACAGCTCATCCACTCCCTCATCATATCACGACTCGACTACTGCAACTCCCTCCTCACTGGCCTGCCTCGCCGCTGGCTATCCCCTCTTCAGTCCATCCTGAACACGGCTGCCAGACTCATTCACCTTTCCAACCGCACTGTCTCCGCCACCCCCCTCTGCCAATCCCTCCCACTGGCTTCCGATTGCGCAACGGATCAAATTCAAAATCCTAACGCTGACGTACAAAGCTGTCCACCATACTGCCCCGAACTACATCACTGACCTAATATCCAAGTACCGCCCAGCACGCACACTCCGCTCCTCACAAGACCTCCTTCTCTCTAGTTCCCTGGTCTCCTCCTCCCCATGCCCGCCTCCAGGACTTCTCCAGGGTGTCACCCATCCTCTGGAACTCCCTGCCCCAACCCATCAGATTATCACCTACTCTCCTCTCCTTTAGGCGCACCCTGAAAAACCCATCTCTTCAGGGAAGCCTACCCCACCCCCTGCTAACTTGCCTCCCTCCTCCACTCTTCCTACCACTCCATCCCCCACAGCTATCTCCTCCTGTGCCACCACCCCCTCCCTCCTAGATTGTAAGCTCGAAAGAGCAGGGCCCTTGATCCCCTCATGTTTTGCATTGTATTGTATTGTTCTGTCACAATGTTCTGTCTCCCTTTTGTAATGTACAGCGCTGAGCGAACTATTGGCGCTTTATAAATACTGTATAATAATAATAATAATAATAATCTTTTACGGCTGATCTGGTGGTTATTTCTTTTAGTGCCCAGGCACCTCATTGCGCTAGCCAGAGAGGGTCAAGCAGTTTACAATACGGCCAAAAATGTGTGGACACCTGACCATCACTCATATGTGAGCTTGTTGGACATCTCATTCAAAAAACCATGGACATAAATAAGGATAATGCCCCCACTATTGTGTGTGCAATGTTTTTGCCCATTTAGCCAACAAAAGCCTTTGTTAAGGCTAGTGTTGCAGGAGAAGACCTGGCTCACAATCAACATTCCAATTCCTACCAGAGGTGTTCGGTAAAGTTGAGGCCAGGGCTGTGTTTAGGTCACTTGGGTTCCTTCAAACCATACCTGTTAAAGCATGTCTTTATGGACCTGTACTGAAACATAGGCATCCTGGAACATGAAACAAGCCTTTCCCAAACTGTTGCAACAAGGCTGAAAACTCAAAATTGTCTAAAATGTCTTTGTATGCTAAAGTATTAACAGTATCCTTCACTGGAAACACCTAAACTCAAAACCATTGGTCCATATAACTGTCAGGGCTCCCAGGTGTGACCAGAGGTGTGTGGCTGACGCAGGGAAACGCAGACCTCAGATATGTTATAAACACAATATAATTTATTAACACTAACCATACAAACATAAACGCAGTGCAATACTAAACATAATACAGTGCAAACAAACCAAAAACCAACCACCCACAGATAACAGTACATACAAGCAAGCGTCATCAGGCAGGCCGGGTCAATATCAATTGGGCAGGTAGGTACAGGGGAGCAAGCGGAGATTGGTCGGGGTCACAGGCCAGGTTCAGCAGGTAGCTAGCAGCGTAGTACAGAGGGTCAGGCAGAGGGATGGTCAGGGTCACAAGCCAGGGATCAGAACAGGTAGCAGGCAGCGTAGTACAGAGGGTCAGGCAGAGGGATGGTCAGACAAGCCAGGGATCAGAACAGGTAGCAGAGAATCAGACAGGAACAGAGAGCAGGAACAGGATACAGGGCCCAAGAGAAACACAACACCAAGGCAGAGTCTGCAAGTCTGGCCATCCCTTAAATACCCCAGCATAATCAGTTCCAGTGTTAGCTGGCTGCAAAGTTGAGTCTCTGATTGCTGGGAGCATCCGCTGGCCAGCCCTGGGTACTGCAGATCAAAAGGCAGGTGAGTCCCACCATTGCTGGCTGTCCATTCCTGACAGTACCCCCCCCCTCAAGGAGCGGCCTCAGGACGCTCCAAACTTGTCCTAGCTGGGCAAAATGTTCCACCGCCCGGGTCTGGTAACTGGCGGGATATCAAAGACTGGCACACCGGGCAGGACTCCGGGCAGCGGCACACCGGGCAGGACTCCGGGCAGCGGCACACCGGGCAGGACTCCGGCAGAGGCACACGGGCAGGGGCAAACACCGGGCAGAGGCACATTGGGCAAAGGCACACCGGGCAGGACTCCGGGCAGAGGGCACATCGGGCTGGACTCCGGGCAGAGGCACATCGGGCTGGACTCCGGGCAGAGGCACATCGGGCTGGACTCCGGGCAGAGGCACATCGGGCTGGACTCGGGCAGAGGCACATCGGGCTGGACTCCGGGCAGAGGCACATCGGGCTGGACTCCGGGCAGAGGCACATCGGGCTGGACTCGGGGGCGACAGGCGCCGGGCCCCCAGGTGGGGCGACAGGCGTTGGGCCCCCAGGTGGGGCGACAGGCGTCGGGCCCCCAGGAGGGGCGACAGGCGTCGGGCCCCCAGGAGGGGGGACAGGCGTCGGGCCCCCAGGAGGGGCGACAGGCGTCGGGCCCCCCAGGAGGGGCGACAGGTCTCGGGCCCTCAGGCGGAGCGGCAGGCGCCGGACCCCCAGATGGAGCGACAGGTCTCGGGCCCCCAGGCGGAGCGACAGGTCTCGGGCCCTCAGGCGGAGCGGCGGGGCGCCGGACCCCCAGATGGAGCGTCAGGTCTCGGGCCCCCAGGCGGAGCGGCGGGCACCGGACCCCCAAGTGGAGCGACAGGTCTCGGGCCCTCAGGCGGGCGGCGGGCGCCGGACCCCCAGGCGGAGCGACAGGTCTCGGGCCCTCAGGCGGAGCGGCGGGCGCCGGACCCCCAGGCGGAGCGGCGGGGCGCCGGACCCCCAGGCGGAGCTGCCCAGCGGCAGGTCTCGGGCCCCCAGGCGGAGCGACAGGTTTTCGGGCCCCCCGGCGCAGCGGCGGGCGCCGGACCCCCCAGGTGGAGCGGCGGGCGCCGGACCCCCAGGTGGAGCGACAGGTCTCGGGCCCCCCAGACGAAGCGGCGGGCACCGAGTCACCAGGCAAAGACTGCGGGCACCGAGTCGTCTGGCAAGACTGCGGGCACCGAGTCGTCTGGCAAGACTGCGGGCACCGAGTCAACTGGCGGAACAGCGGGCACCGAGTCGTCTGGCAAGACAGTGGGCTCCGAGTCAACAGGCACGACAGTGGGCACCGGGTCATCAGGTATCGGATTGTCTGGCTCGACAGCGGGCATCGGGTCACCAGGTATGACAGCGGGCACTGGGTCACCAGGCAATCAGGTCATTTGGCTTGCCAGCGGGCACCGCGTCATCTGGCAAGGCAGTGGGCACCGGGTCACCCAGTATGACAGCGGGCTCTGAGTCAATTGGCACGACAGCGGGCACTGGATCAGGTACCGGATCATCTGGATCAACAGCGGGCATCGAGTCAACTGGCCTAATAGGATCGTCGGGCTGGATCAGTTCATCATGCTGAGTAGCGGCATCAGGCTGAATGCAGGCATCAGGCCGAGTAGAGGCATCAGGCCGAAGAGAGGCATCAGGCCGAAGAGAGGCATCCGGCCGAAGAGAGGCATCCGGCCGAAGAGAGGCTTCAGGCTGAGTAGAGGCTTCAGGCTGAGTAGAGGCTTCAGGCTGAGTCACGGAAGGCAGGTTCACCGGTTTGGATACTGGCAGGATGGTATTGGTTGGAAAGAATTTTCGCTTTTTTCTGGTTTTAACTACTGGAGCACTGCAAGTAAACGCAGGTCTGCAAACGAATGGAGCAGCTGGAGACAGAGAAGAACTGGAGGATGGAACAGGAGAGGGAGCAGTTGCTACAGAGGGCTTTTTTACAGGGTTAAAGGCAGGATAGGTGCAGCGAGTGGGAACAGGGTACTGACATGCGGTAGATAGCCAAGTATACTGGGCTGTAACTGGAGGAGCTGGTGGGAATACATGAGTAGAGTTAGAAGCAGGACTGGGTTTTTGTAAGCTGACTGAGGCTGGGTGCAACAAGTCTGACCATGTCTGCAGTATGGGTTGAACAAAGCTGAGCTTACACAAAGCCTGTCTGGTCAATGACTGCACTGCGTTTATACAATCTCTTAGTGTCTGTGGTGAACATGTGGAATAACGCTCCAGAAAGTAACCCACATCATCCTCTAATAACCACACCAGGGACTCTACCTGGTCTGCACTAAATGGTGGCAAAAATTCATCCCTGCATTCGGGGGTACCAGATGAAACCAACTCTGCACAAACCTCAATCAAAGGCTGCACCTCAGAGAACTCTGTGCCCTGATCTACTAGAACATGAGCGAGCCGTATACATTCTAGTAGTTGATCCCTGGGATACTCCTTCAGAGTTTGATAAGCATACTCCCTGTCATCAAACACTAGCAGATATAAATACACAACCTCATCCAGATCCATCCTTCCCATCAACAAGCCAAGATGGCTTCCCTGTGCAGCCACTTCTGGTCAGGATTGGCCTTGGTGTAATGTCAGGGCTCCCAGGTGTGACCAGAGGTGTGGGGCTGACGCAGGGAAACGCAGACCTCAGATATGTTATAAACAATATAATTTATTAACACTAACCATACAAACATAAACGCAGTGCAATACTAAACATAATACAGTGCAAACAAACCAAACCAACCACCCACAGATAACAGTACATACAAGCAAGCGTCGTCAGGCAGGCCGGGTCAATATCAATTGGGCAGGTAGGTACAGGGGGAGCAAGCGGAGATTGGTCGGGGGTCACAGGCCAGGTTCAGCAGGTAGCTAGCAGCGTAGTACAGAGGGTCAGGCAGAGGGATGGTCAGGGTCAGTCCCACCATTGCTGGCTAGTCCATTCCTGACAATAACATAAGTGGCCACATTGTATATGATATAACTTTTTTCTGAAGTCTCTTGTTCCCCACTAGATTCATGCATAAGTTTGTGCCAGCAATGTCTGTTCCCTCCTTTGCCCTCCTTTCTTCATTTAGAGGGAAGTCCATCTTTTTGACCTCAGTCTCTTTGCCCTTTTTTCCCTAACAACCAAGCCTCTTTTTTGTGGTTTTGGGTATTCTGAGAAAGGGTAAAACCTGTGTCAAGTTTTACTGTACTTGTGGGAGGCCTTGATGGGAAGATTTCCTTTTAGAGGTATGCTAGTAACCTAGCAGTCAAGGGGAGCAACAGGGTGCATTGGGGAGATACAGACCCCCAACACACCTAGAAGTGTCTGAATGTGAAGATTATAGTGGCGTCTGTATCTCTGCAGCATTGCATCAAAAGGTATTATACTCCGCTATAGATACGCAAGCACTCAAGGCTGGGTGATGGTTCCCCAATGGTTCATTCTCCACTTCATAATTTGGTTCTAGTAAAAGTAAGACTTAACAAATAGGCTCAATATGAGTGAAACATGTCAGAGGGTCAAGGTCAGGTGGTCTGTCTTGCTCTGGACCATTAATTTAAGGAAAAATTAACTTTTTCCAGAACATGGCCTAGACATTTAAGGGGCCCCAGTAGGTATAAAAAAAATGTGCAGCTTTGTAAAGTGTTCTTTAATTTTATTTTCATACCTGTAGGCAGGGCCAGGATAAGGGGTTGGCAGGAGGGGCAGCCACCCAGGGCGCAGCGGTAGGGGAGAGCACCTGTCAGGGCCTGGACTTGAACCTGGGACTTCTACTGTGTCAGGCAGTAACTCTACTCACTGAGCTACCTGGGATGCTGGACAACACTTTGCCTCATCTATTGGATAATCCTGCCTTGTGCCTTGTTTGCTCTTGAACCTTGAACTCCTTGCTCCTCCCATGAACTTCCTATATAAGCCATGTCCTTGGACTTCCTCCTTGCCAGATTATTGTGCCTTTCCAGCCAATATTCCTGCTACTGTTCCTGCTGCTGTCTACACCTCCGCTACTGACCTTTGGCTTGTTCCTGACCACGATTGATCTGCTACCATTTGTGACCGACCCTTGGCTTGTGACCGACTCTGCTTTCGTCTGATCCCTAACCTGTTGATCCGCTATTGGTTCCCAGTCTGCTCATTCCCTGGTGGGGTGATCCTGAGATCTGCGACTTGGTATTAACACGCAGCCCAATCCATCTCCACCATTAGGAGCTCTGGTGAATACCGGTTAATACTTAGACCCCGCACCTCAGGTGAGCCTGCGTCATTCCCAGGGGGACCCGCTGGTGTACCTATCCTGCTGGTTCCAGGTAAGCCTTTTACTGCTATAGCAACTGGTCTCTGAACCTGACCTTACACCGTGACAGCACCCCCTCACCACAAGAAAGCTCAAACTCAGGGCTAGCAAAGAGGGGCCACAATTTCACATCTGCTCTAACACCTGCTGCTGTCATGCCATGCTCCAACTTACCCACTGTCCACCCTGTCCACCCACAGTTGACACAAAAACATACCTTGCATGTGCAACTACCTTCTAGCCACAAGACAGCAACTGATTGACCATACAGGGGCAGGGCACACTCCAACATCAACCATAGACAGTTGGAGCAAAGGGCCAAAGAAAGGGCACAAGGCATGCATTAGAAAGGGGGCCAGGTCTTCATCCTTGCCCTGGGCCATGGACAAACCTGTCCCAGTACGGCCTGTGTACCATTTGAGCCCCCCCAGAAGCCTGGATGATAAGCTCCCAGTTAACAATCCCCATGTCCTGCCCAGTTGCTAGGATGCAAAAACCATTGGTTTCGACTCTTCTACTGCTTGAAATGAGCATTCAATGGTTTTTAAATACTAGCAACAAGGCAGAACGTGGGGCTGCTAACTGAGAGTTTTTTGGTCAGACTTCCCAGGTAGTCCAAATGGCCTACAGGTATGACAAAAAAAAATGAATTAACGTTTTACAAAGCTGTGCAGTTTTTAATACCTACTGAGGACCCTTGACCGCATAGGCTAATTTCTGGGGAAACAAAAGTTAACTTACCCTTTCAACTTTCAACCATGACTTTTAATTTGGAATGTAGCTGCCCTTCCTTTCACTAGTACTGAATTCTGCCCATAGCACAGTTTGATTCAACATGGTGCCTTCTAGAGATGAGCGAAGTATTCAAAAATTCGATTCGACTGATTCGGCGAATTCGTGGAAAAATTTCGATTCGAGTCGAATATATTCGCTGTGAATTTAACTTAAAAAAGGGTGTTTCTAGGCTTCAGAGAGACTTAATATTAGTGCTGAACACTGTACCTTTAATTTAAATGCCCTTGGAGTCTGCTGGGGAAGAGAAATAATACTGTCAGGCAGTATGACATGCAGATGAGTGCCGTCGATCTTAGAATCACCGCACACTTCACTCATTTGGCCAGTCACGGGGCCAAAACCAGAGTGTGGAGCCACAGTGTGGCGGTGGAGGCAGCAGCAATGGGAGGCCATACAGCACCCTATGACAAAAATGGAAACCACCAGCAGTGTGAGGAGACCTGAAAGTGGCACATGGCAGAGTGTGGCGATAGAGACAGCAGCAATGGGAGGCCGTACAGGGACCCATGACACACTCTGGACCTGGCAGCAGCATGGGTAGGCGGTACAGGGGCCCATGGCAGATTACGGGCCTGGCAGCAGCATGAGGAGTCGGTACGGGGCCCATGGCAGATTACAGGCCTGGCAGCAGCAATGGGAGGCCGTACAGGGACCCATGACACAATCTGGACCTGGCAGCAGCATGGGGAGGCGGTACAGGGGCCCATGACAGATTACGGGCCTGGCAGCAGCATTTGGAGTCGGTACGGGGGCCCATGACACACTCTGGACCTGGCAGCAGCATGAGGAGGCGGTACAGGGGCGCATGACAGATTACGAGCCTTGCAGCAGCAACTTGGACAGGAGGACGTTCAGTTTCTGCACCGTCTGGTGCGTGCTCGCAAACTGTTGTCTCTTGGAAACGGATTCCAAGAAAGACTGCTGACGGAATCCGTGAAGAGGAGTAGCAGGAGAAGGAGCATCTGAACGAGCGGAATATGCAACAAGCGACAACAGGGGCCCATGACAGATTACGGGCCTGGCAGCAGCATGAGGAGTCGGTACGGGGGCCCATGGCAGATTAGGGGCCTGGCAGCAGCTATGGGAGGCCCGTAATCTGCCAGCACCCTATGACAAAAAATGGAACCCACCAGCAGTGTGAGGAGACCTGAAAGTGGCACATGGCAGAGTGTGGCGATGGAGACAGCAGCAATGGGAGGCCGTACAGGGACCCATGAGAGACTCTGGACCTGGCAGCAGCATGAGGAGGCGGTATAGGGGCCCATGGCAGATTAGGGGCCTGGGCAGCAGCTATGGGAGGCCCGTAATCTGCCAGCACCCTATGACAAAAAATGGAATACACCAGCAGTGTGAGGAGACCTGAAAGTGG